CTTGATACTGCGGTTCTTGCCGGGTTGGAGTTTGCCGATCCTGAAAATTTTTGTCGGTTTTGGAATGTCTGCACTCACCGAGGATATAGTTTTGAATACCTCAGCTTCGTCTTTTGACAATCTGTCTTCAGGAGTAGACGCAATTTGTTCAGGTAAGCCGACAAGCACGATATTTTTTTTCTCTATTTTTGCGTTGCTGAATCTCCTGTATAATTTGTTCGCCGAGTATCAACTCGTTTTCCAGCGTTATTGGTGCAGATTTTGAGGAAATTTTGAGTTTGTTTAAGTCTGATTCAAGTGATTCCATTTTTACTTGCATTGCGCTATGAGATCGCTCGTTCGTCAATTTAATATCAGCAATTTGGTTTTTTATATCAGTAATATTTTCTTGCATGGTTTTTAAAATCAGCTCATTAGACACGATGTATTTTTCTAATAGAGAACTGATACGACTTAGTTCAGATCTCATTCCCCCTAATTCTTCAGAGCATGCACATTCGACACCAAAAGGCAATTTTCGTTTCCGAAATGTAATTGATGAATCCGACACTAAATCGCTCATTTTAGATATATCTGGTTGCGACCCTCCAGTTGGTGACCTCTGAACGCTCATATTGCTTGCGTTACGTTAACCGACACACCGATTCTACGTATTGAGTAAGCGAGTTAAAAAATAGCAACCGTACGTGTTTCGCGGAGGTGAAGACGGCTCACTGTTATTGTAGCGGGGGTCCTCTTTGTTGATGCACAGGAGTGTAATGTCACATTAAACAAACAACTTTCACACAATTAAACGTTTTAAGTCTTCTTGGTTAAGGATGGAATTAGACTTGCACTGATTTAGAAAATATTTAGAATTTACTTGTACACGTCTACTCAGTACGACAACGAATACATATTCTCATTATATTATTCATGTACTTTTTAAAGTTGTAATTTTAAACGTTATTGTATGGAATCATAATCAAGTTTTGTACACTTATTATACTGAATTAATTATCTATATCGTTGCAAAAATATATAATTTTAGCAAAAATTATTAAGTTAAATAAATTAAAAATTGGTGTACTAAATCCTGCATCTCTTGGCACCAAACACGATGAATTCTTGGTTGCCATGGCGCGTCATTCATTGGACATAATGGCCATCAATGAAACATGGCTTCGGGAGGGTGAGGAAGGCCGTGCGCCATCAGTCCCAAGTTACCGACTGCGACACATTCCCCGACCTGCCGAAGTCCGTGCACGCGGTGGGGGGGCAGGTTTTTATTTGAGGCAGGGCTACTTGAGGCAGGGCTATTTGAGGCAGGGCTATTAACTACGCGAATTATTGAGTATCCTGTTTGCCCTATGGTGGAGCAAATGTGGATAGGTATTAAAATTAATGGTAAATCACTTATGGCATCTTATAGGCACTGCTTATCGTCCCCCGTGGCTTAGTGTACAATTATTCTTGAAAGCGTTGAGTGAGTCGTTAGGGTCCTTCGCAGGGTACGATTATACTGTTTTAATTGGGGATTTTAATATTGACCTCCTAAATAGACATTGCACAAGTACTAAGATGTTCTATGACTTTCTGAATTGTTGTAACCTTACACAATATGTTGAAGTACCAACGCATTTTACCGAAAGTAGTCAGACTCTCATAGATGTTGTGTGTACTGACGCACCGGTATCTCATATAAAAGTAGACTATATTAGTGATTTAAGAAGTCATGCCGTAGTTCTGTGTGAATTTAACATTACAAAAGACCGATTCAAGCCTAGATGGGTTACGTTCAGACCATTGAGAACTATCTATATAGATATTCTCAAAGATGACCTTAACCATATAGACTGGCATAGCTTCACGTTATTAAATGATGTCAATGATATGGTGAGTATCTTTAACAAAACTGTAATAAATATTTTTGATAAAAATGTACCAATGAAGACCGCTTACATAAAAAACAAACATTATCCTTGGATAACATATAACATAAAGTGTATGATGAAGACGCGTTATGAAGCACAGGTTAGGGTGCGTAAGACAAATCTCGACTCACACAAGAAGTATTATAAAGAGCTAAATCAATAGTTAAAAGTGCCCTTGAGTCAGAAAAAAAGGCGTACTTTCAATTTTTCGTTAACTTAAGAATGAATCAACCAAAAGTCATGTGGAAGCATATTAAGCAACATGTACAAATAAAAAACAAAGATAATTCTCTGCCAGCTCATTTCAATGATCCAAATGCTATGAACGATCATTTTCTAAATATCTCCGGAGAAAGTAATGTAGCTATGTCTCTCCTCACTTTGAATTTCATCGTTTTTCTGATGTTTCATTTCAATTTCAAGAAATCTCAGAATCTGAGGTTGCAACTATTTTAAGGTCATTACATACTAACCCAATTGGTTGCGATAGGATATCACTAGACATGATAAGGTTGTTACTTCCAGATTGTCTTGAAGTAATAACTTCAATAATCAATAAATCTTTCGTAACAAACACCTATCCTACTGTATGGCAGCAAGCCCTTGTTAAACCTATATCAAAAGTTAGTAATCCTGTTTGTATGTCTGACCTTCGACCCATCAGCATCTTACCGTGCTTATCTAAAATTATAGAGAAAATAGCATGTAAGCAATTAACTCAATATCTTGAGACCAATAATATACTGCCCAGGCTGCAATCGGGTCTCAGAAAACAGCGCAGCACTACAACTGCCTTAATTCAGGTCGTAGACGACATACTGACAGCACAAGCCAACGGAGAGGGCACTATTTTGACTTTGCTGGATTTCTCACGGGCATTCGATACCATTAATGTTTCCTAACTACTTTCTAAGTTATCATACTATGGTTTATGTAGAAATGCTATTAAGTGGTTTAGCAGCTATTTAAAAACCGTTCCCAGCAAGTCGTATTAACAAGAAACGATAACACTAGAATCACTTCGGATAATCGGCGGGTTGAACGGGGAGTTCCGCAGGGTTCTATCTTAGGACCACTGCTTTTCATACTTTACAGCGCGGATATTGTAAATAATATAGAGCATTGTAAGTTCCACATCTATGCAGACGACTTACAGGTATATATTACTTTTAAGCCCTGCGATACCGATATCGCTATGGCGAAGCTTAACGCCGACCTGAATCGCATATCTCTGTGGTCTGCGCGTAACACACTAGTTCTTAATCCAAAAAAAAAAAACAAAATACATGATACTGGGAACGCCAACACAGGTACGGAAGATTATATCGAAATGTCCCGCTGTTGTCATAAATAAGGATACAATAGAGAGAGTCCATGAAGCGAGAAATCTTGGTGTAGTGATGGACGAGCAACTGCGATTTGAGAAGCACATTTTTGACATTGTACGTAATTGCTTTTTCAGGCTAAAAGTACTATGCTGACTCTCTTATAGGACCGCGACTTCTAGCTCGTACCAAACAAATTATACAACGGGTGCAAAACGCCTGCGCGCGTTTTTGCTTTAACATACCACCACGTACACATGTAACACCGTTTTATAACAAAGCCAATATATTAAAAATGGACCTCCGGAGACGACTACACTTTGCCACTCTTTTGTTCGGTATTATAAAAAACAAAGAACCACTATAACTGCCGCAGGGTATGTATGTGGTCTATGGTACTGAAGCCTTTTCGGAAACCGGCTTGTTCAGGAGGCTGTAAGTCGTCGAGTCTGCGTGCGAGACGATTCGTAATGACTCTCGAAAACAGCACGTAGACGCGGCTCAGAAGGGAAATCGGTCTGTAGTTCTTCAAGAGAGCGTTGTGGCCTTTCTTAAAGAACAAGACCACCGCACTTCTGTTCCACGCCTCCGGAGTAGTGCCACCATGAAGGACGGAATTGAAGAGCTTCTGAAGGACTTCAAGTACCGGTGTTCAACCCGGTTTCAGAAGCTCCGCTGTAATTCCATCCTCGCCTGAGGCTCTGTCGTTTTTAAGGCTGCGATGACGTCCGGGATATCATCGGAATAGTGTCGGGTAAGACTTGCTCTTGTATCGTTACTCACACTTGCGTGTGGCTCCAACGATGATGTGTACAGCTGCCCATAGAACCTCTCAATCTCACTCAAAATCTCAGGTGTCCCGGAAACGATGCTGCCACACTCAGTCTTCAGCTTTGATAGTTGGCTCTTTTTGGCAAACAGATCTCTGGCAAAGACTTTGGAGCCCTGGTTCCGCTCGATCGCTTCTTTAATACGAGCAGTATTAAAGTTGCGTAAGTCTTGCCGCATGCATTTGGAGATCTGTCTGTTCAGTTGCCTGTATGCTGTCAAATCTGTTGACGATTGCAGCCTCATCTCCCGTCTAACAGCCATGAGATTAAGAGTGTGATCGGAGAGTTTTTGTGTTCTTCTGCGGCGGGTCTTGCAGAACTTAGCTTTTTTTTTGCAACAAAGTCCCAGAAAATATGCAAGACCTACCTGTCAAAAAGTTTAATATTTTAACTAAGCAAATATTTTTAATAACGGTTATCTTACTACTAATGAGATCACAATTGATATCTTGGGTTATCTCCATATATTTATAATTAACCTCTGGGTCTGGGAATGAGGTGTTTGTTACCATACTGTTTCTACAACATAATTATTTTGTAAATTAATTTACAAAATAATTATGTTGTAGAAACTTAAAATTTATTTTTAAATATTAATATTTAAAAATAAAGAGTTCCGCTGGTTTACTGGTTGTGGTTTTGGTTTGCTGGTTTACTGGTTTTTCCCGAGACTGAGGTTTTTTGTGAATTAGTGGCAGTAAAGGCATACTTGGCTTTATAAGTTTTCTTGTAATGTATATTGAATAAAAATTATTCTATTTGAGGTTTGAATATTTTTGAACTTATATTTCTCATTGCATATAAGATGATTAGTGTAAGTGGTAACTTTACCCTAATCTCTAGATGTAAAACATCCAGAGCGGTGATAGGCTAGTGAGAAGAGTATCACAAGAAATATTTTAATACATGTAACAAATACCTACTATATTCAGGTGGTACCTGACGTGCAGCGCGTGCGAGGCGCACAAAGTGCACCGAGTATGCACGACTACAGTGTGCCGGGCGCGCAAGGCATCGCTGCGGAGGGGGTGGGCGTGGAGGCTGAGGCGAGTGAGGGCTCGGGTGAGCTGTGGCCACGCCGGCTGGCACAGGCACAGCATCGCTACACGGGTACGTCGAAAAAGAAATCCCAAATCCCAGTAAGACTCATACACACACAAACTCGGGAGTGCACGTGCCTACGAGCACTTAACCCTATAGAGAAGTAATACATGCAAATTTAAAAGAAAACAATTTTGTCAACTAGTTGCGGTGCGGGGGGAGTTGTGATCGCTGCGAACTACTCCGAACTATTCCGAAGAGATTCCGGACACGATCGCTAGGGCGTGCATTGTAATGACTTGATGCTTTCTATCGATAATGATAATTTTTTTCGCTTTTTTAATACATGCTTTCGGTATCAGTAACTAGCTTTGACTGTGACTTCAATTTTCTATGCAACTAAGAAATGCAATTTTAAATGTACTAACATTTTCAACATTACAATTTTACAACATTATATTTTACACCAGTATACTCAGGTAAAATATAAAAGAGGATGTTTGTGTATAGTTTAACTCAAAATCTATTTGATCGATCACCATGAAAAATGGTAGATAAAATTATAATGTGCATCTTTTACGCATGGTGGTGTAGAAACAATCCACACGCGCATCCGCGAACATACCCGACGCACTACAATAACGAGGCAGACCCAACAGCACTCTGAATGCATTATTGTATTGAACACGCATTTAATCTGTAGCTTGTACCGCCAAAGACACGAAACGGCAACGTCGCGGCTGCTTTCAGCCAATCCGATCATTTATCTTACCGTTTGCTGTGCTCCGATTGGCTCATTTAAATCGGATCGACACTTTCCGTAACCATCGCAAGGTGGATTTGTATATCGAATCGACTTCGGCAAACGCTTGCAAACAGTCTCGTGAGTACAGATGTTAATCCAGTCAGAGCCACATTAGTTACCAGAGATGCATATTGGATCAACAAAAGGCGCCGGATCAACATGCGTTTTCGGATCAACAAAGTGCTCGCGTGAAGTCGCGTCTGATCAACATTTTCCGTAAAGAGATCTCTATATATACACAACAAGTAACAAAAACCCTGTGGTTCCCGTTAAGTGTGTTATCAGAATCAGTATCCAAGCGTATGATTGTATATATATATATATATATAGTTAATTTTTCTTTATTTTTATTGAATGTCAGAATTAGTAATAATACTGTTACGAGCTTGAGGTTCGTGACAATAAAAATTGCCGATAAAATTACCTAAATTAACACTTTAATTTACTTTACACAATTAAAGTTAAAACACTAATAATTTAAACACACTAATTCACTTAATTCCACTCCGAAGCTTCGCTTGTTTCGCCCAAATCAACACTACCTCGATCGCATCTTGCAGCGCCTATATATTTAAATTAGCAAAGAAATATCCAGAATGTTCAAGTACACAGGCGCAAGGTACCGAGCGTTCGAGTTTCGACTAGGCGCTGTCGGTTGAGTAATTTGTGATGTCATTTTCTCAATGCTCCCCTCGCTCTCGTTCCTGACACTAGATGGCGCTAGTGTATTGTCGATTTGAGTGCGTAACACTGCCCCCTCCTAAGACATGCTCGTCCCGAGCATTATCGGCCCCATAATAACGCGCTAGGCGATCCAAATGGACGATCTTAGGAGTCCCTCTTGCGCCTTTCTGTAACGGCTCCGCAATGTCAAGGGCTGTTCTATCCCGTGGTGCACCAACATTGTACAATTTCGGTGCTCCTCTACTACGTGTCTGAGGTCCCCGCACGGCCGCACAACTTGTACATGTACGACAGCAATCCTCGACATCGTCACGATAATGGACCCAGTAAAACTGTTCTCGGACCTTCAGTAGAGTTCGTTTAACTCCCAGATGGACTCTTGAACGACCATTATGGCACAGCTGTAGAACATTCGGCACTTTAGCTTTAGGGACAACCATTTGCAAACGACAGCTGTCCCTTCGACCATTGTCCCATTTACGGCACAGGACTCCATCCTGAATCAGCAAGCTGTCCCATTGGGCCCAATAGCTTTTCGTGGTTGAACTCATCGCTGAGACGTCCCTCCACTTAGGCTTGGTAGCACGGGCCTTCATCCATCCCAGAATCGGCTTGATGTCCGGATCTTCCTGCTGTGCATGTCGTAGGCTGTCCTTCCACCCGTTGCTGAGGTGGTCTGTCCTGAGCATCCTCACGGATACCACTTCCTTACTCTCTTGCCTACTACAATGGTTGCAATCTTCAGGACAAGGTCTTCTTGTCAATGCATCTGCGTTGCCGTGAGATTTTCCGCTGCAGTGTCTGATAGTAAAGTCGTATTCCTGCTGCTGCTGGGCGGTGCTGTTAGCCGCACTTCCTTTCTGAGACCGTTCACCTTCCCTTCCTAGGGTGTGCTTAGGGCAGCTGGACCGAAGATGGCCCCTTTCCCCACAGCCATAGCACCTAGGGCTGTATCTTTTATTGTGGTCGCGAACCGTAACTGCTGTAACCTCCTTAGCGTGAGGTGAACGATGATCCTGTTGCCGCCAGGCAGTGCCGTTAGCTGTACTACCCTCTCGAGATCGACCAACTCTCCTTTCCATGGTTAGTTTAGGGCAGCTGGATCGAAGATGGCCCTTTTCCCCACAGCCATAGCACCTTGGGCTGTATCCTTTGTTGCGGTCGCGAACTGTAGCGGCTACAACCTCCCCTGACGCGATGGGAACGATGATCCTGCCGCACGGCTTCTACCTCCAGTGCATGGGCCAAGGCGTCCTTAAGCGTCTCGTGGTGCCCAAGCCTCACAGCAGCTCTGACTTCCAGGTCGCGGATGCCGTCGATGAATGTCTGCACCAGGTTCCCTTCAATGAGCGCAGGTACAGACCGGTAAGCTTTTCGCACCAGCTTCTCCACCTCTAGAGCCCACTGCTGCAGGTTTTCGTTGATGCGCTGCACACGATCTTTAAGCTGCGCACGAAAGACGTGTTCCAGGTGAGCGTCGCCATATCTCGTCTCCAATGCCTCAAGGAGTTGCTCATAAGTCACTTCCTCACCGAGAGCTTCCAGAACTGTTAAGGCCTGGTCACGCAGGCCTAGTGTGAGAGCAGTCATGGCCTGATTTTTATTCCAGCCGTTCGCCTTCATAACAGCCTCGAACTGGATCTTGTAGGCTGACCAGGAAGAAGTCCCGTCGAACGGTGGCACTTTGAACCCACGTAGCGAAGGTGTAGTAGCTACTACGGGAGCTGTAGTTCCATCACCCAGTTTGAGGTCGTCCAGCGTTTTCTTCACGTCAGCCACCACGTAATCAACCCGATTGTTCACTTGGTCGATTTGGGTTTTAGCTTCCTTGATTTGGGTATCAGCTTCCGACAGGCGGTTGTCATTTTGAGCAACCTTATCCTTCACCTCCTTTATCTCTTTCCCAAAGGTAGCATGAAGGTCCTTAATGAGGAGCATCTGCTCTTCCGACCGACGAGCCTGTTCCTCCTGTCGGCGGGCCTGCTCCTCTTGTCCGCCCCGCAGCTGCTCTTTCAACTGACGGACCTGTTCCTCCTGTCGGCGAGCCTGTTCCTCCTGTCGGCGAGCCTGCTCCTGCAGCATCACCATCAGAGCACCTAAGTCAGGTGCTGCAGATGTAGGAGCTACCGACGGGCCTTCAGCCGGTGGCTGGCCCTCCGACGTCTGCGGCGTTGCACCACCAAATCTTCGTTGGTCCGTCTCCTGCTGGCGTTGACTTCGGGTACGGACACCCTCGGTTTTCTCCTTAGGTAAAATCGGCATGATTTTATCCCACTTCTGACACCAATTGTTACGAGCTTGAGGTTCGTGACAATAAAAATTGCCGATAAAATTACCTAAATTAACACTTTAATTTACTTTACACAATTAAAGTTAAAACACTAATAATTTAAACACACTAATTCACTTAATTCCACTCCGAAGCTTCGCTTGTTTCGCCCAAATCAACACTACCTCGATCGCATCTTGCAGCGCCTATATATTTAAATTAGCAAAGAAATATCCAGAATGTTCAAGTACACACGCGCAAGGTACCGAGCGTTCGAGTTTCGACTAGGCGCTGTCGGTTGAGTAATTTGTGATGTCATTTTCTCAATGCTCCCCTCGCTCTCGTTCCTGACACTAGATGGCGCTAGTGTATTGTCGATTTGAGTGCGTAATAATACAAATATTACTGCACAAAATTGGCTTTAAATTTAAAAAATGTCAGTCGAAGAGAAAGCTGCTTATTGAACAACCAAATATTGTTTCTTGGCGATGGAAATATCTGAATGCAAAAAAAAAACATCGAAGAGACAAGAGATCCATTGTTTACCTCGATGAAACATACGTCAATTCCGCGTTAAATGTTCCATCGTGCTGGCAATCAAAAGAAGAACGTGGAGTGCTGGCTCATATTAGGCCAGGCTGGATTTGTTGACGGAGCTCTTTTAATTTTTAAATCAAAAACTAAAACCGGGGATTATCATTTGGATATGAATTTTGTTTTCAATAAATGGACAAAAGACAAATTATTGCCAAATTTACCTCCAAGATCTGTAATTGTTATGGATGATGCCGCGTATCATTTAGTCCAGGAAGACAAAAAACCAACGATGACAAATACAAAAGCTTCGATGCAGGTTTGGCTGCAAAGTCATAATGTGGAATTTGACAATTCCTTGAGAAAATGTGACCTGCTCAAGTTGATCAAACAAAATGGATCTGAAAATGTTTACAAGATTGATGAAGTGCTAAAAGCTGCAGGCCACGAAGTATTAAGACTTCCGCCGTATCACCCAGACTTGAACCCCATAGAGCTGGTTTGGGGGGATATCAAGGGACAACTTTCGAGAAACGAACTTGACAGTAATTTAGATAAGAAGAAAACTGCACTAGAGAAATTATTTAGTGAATTTCCAGTATAAAAATGGGTAGCATGTGACACACATGTCTAGAACATTGAAGATGAGTACTGTCAACACGATCGAATACTCGACGACGCTATGGACGAAATGATAATTAATTTACAAGATAATTCTGACTCGTCCAGTTGCTGATAGCGAAGGCGATAATTCAAGTGATATGAATATTGATATTAGCGTGGTGGAAAATATATTATAATTATTAAAATAAAATTATAAAAAATGGTTAAGTACTGCTTTTCCAAAGTGTTTTGCTTAAAACTTAATAAATATTTCTGATATAAATCATTGTCTTATTTCTATTCATGTACATATTAAAAAAATACGTTACAGTAAAATAAAATTAACATGCTACAAAATCATTGATCTAGCAAAGTTGACTTTTATTTACATTATCCTATATTTGCAATCGACGAATATTATCCCGGGATTTATCTCTGCAAAAATTATTACGTGTGTATCGATACCCGCCCCCACCAACTTCATGCCCCGCGGCTGATCCGCCAGTTGTGTGGTTTACCTATATCTTAATTTATCCACGTGGCCCGTGTGAGCCTGAGTTGTGTCTGTTAAGCCCCACCTTGATCTACTAAAAAAAGGTCCATTATACATGGCAGTCAAGTGGTACAACAACTTGCCTAACTCTATAAAAGCCCTTCAAGGAAGTAAATTTACATAATACCAAAAATAAATGTGTTATTATATGCAAAATTGTAAGTTAAAATAGTTATGATAAATTATGAAGTATGTCAGTACGTGTTATAATAATATAAGTAATATTAAATGTTTATAATATAATTAATATTAAGTGTTTAGTTTCTGTAAGTAATTTGCAGTATATATATAAGTATAGGGCTCTTGTTTGTGACTTAAACATTTTTTTGTAACACCTATGAAATAACAAGACGCAATAAATGAATATGAATATTCTGGCATACCGGTCTAGCAGTATACCTAGAACTCTATAATTAAACGGCTACTGGCCACATCACTCGTGTGATGGCAGCTGTTCCAATTCTTCACCGGCCTGTCACACTTGACAGTCGAATTAAAGATCGTAGTGCTGAAACTCGTCGCTCTATCGCAAGTTGTATGATTTTTTTGGCACTTCTTACGATATCAATGAAACGAAAGGGCGTGAAAGATTCTATCATACCGCCACCACAAGGTAAGAGATCAGTCAATTTCTTCCCGTGTATTCGTTCAAAGTTCAAGCTTAGAGGCGGACCCTGGACAGAGTCGAAGACAGGATTATTCCGACTACCCTTTTTATAGAATAAGGATGACTAACGAGCACATAGTTTCTCTGAGGGTAAGTGCATGCTGAGGTCTATAGACAGTAGACACCTACATTTATCCTCGATTATAATTCAAAGTGCAGATGCGTTGTCACCCCTAAGGACTAACATGGAATGCCTCTTTTCCAGTAAAAAGGGTCTCCGGTTCACTACACTCACTATACGAAGCACAGCAACATTAAGCTGCAATCCCGAATAGGTGTAGCGTGGCTCTACATCCTTAAAATGTTGCCTTTCCATTTAAGTTACGTTGTGTTTCAACCCTTGTTACTAATTTCACTAAAACTAATTTATTAGTCACCTCTCGTATAAATTACAAGCTGAACGCGGCAGTTGTTCTGCCAGTTAATATCATAAGTTGTGTTCAGCAACGTTTTTTATTTTAGGAAATTAAATTTAATTTATTAATTGCCGCGTTTGACATTGATATTTGATAAAAATTTTGATAAAAAAACCGAATAAAAAATTAAATGTGTTTGTTTCAAATTTTTTTCAAAATTTTTAGTTTATAAATATAATCCAACTCCTTTGAAACATACATATATATATATATATATATTATTTTTTTTTTTATATATATATATATATATATATATATATATATATAAACGAACTGGAGGACTTAAGCACTATTCTCAATGACCTCAATAGGTCTTAAGATGAACATGGACAAAACAAAGATCATGTTTAATGTCCATGTCACACCTATGCCGGTAGTTGTTGGGAGCACTATGCTCGGAGTTGTTGACGAGTACGTTTACGTGCAGGGCTGGCGGGCGAGGGCAGCGCGCCGCACATCTTCAGCCACCAGGGCGGCCTGCTGCAGGCCGCCTGGCCGCACCGCGCCTGGCCGCCCGAGCCGCCGCGCAACGGTAACTTCACATACATCGTCTTATCTTTAGGATGACAGAACTCTCGAACTAGTACTATAAAAAAAATCTTTTAAAATATTCGATAACTCTATCATAAGAATACATGGAACTATTGTTTTTGGTCTCATAAAATTTAATTTATTTATAAATTTGGTATAGAAGTACCCGTTTATATATCTATTTTTTATTCTATATTAGATATTTATGGTTTATGGTTTAAGACATTTATTTTCTCAAAAGATTTACAAATCACTTACAGATAAAATACTTATTATAAAAAAGAAACTAAACCGATTGGCGTAGAGAAACTAAACCGATTGGCGTAGTGAGCTAGTATTATTTTATTTTATTTTTTTTATTTATTTATTACAAGATCCACAGCTCTAATTACAACGTATATAAAACTTAAGAAATAAACTAACAGCCAATAACGGATCTACTTTATACATTTTTTGACTTATATTAATTGACCGACAATCAATAAGTTTGAGCTACAACACATATTATTTTAGAATTAGAAATTAAAAACGGTGCATCTCTCTCTCTCTCTCTGATCTGTGTATCCGTGTACGCGCGCGCGCGTGTGTGTATATTTGTGTGTGTGTGTGTGTGTGTGTGTGTGTGTGTGTGTGTGTGTGTGTGTGTGTGTGTGTGTGTGTGTGTGCAATATACATATTAACCATTTCCTTCGAGTACTTCAAGAACTTCCCTCTTAAACAGATACCTACTGCTATGAAAAATATCAGTAGCATTAAATTGGTTGTTAAAAGTTCTATGCAATCGACTGACCAATGCGTTTTGTGCGTAATTTGTTTTTGATCGTGTTACAGCAAATAATTTTGTGTGTCTCGTTCTAACTTTCGGGGCGCGGAAACTCAGTATTTTGGTTGATAGTTCAGGGCTATCTATATATCCGTTGCATATTCCGTGTAAAAAGGACATGTCAGCAAGTACACGCCTATTTTTGAGAGTCGTAAGATTAAGATAATGGATTCATCATAATTTTTGAAATGGCAATGCGACCGATAATTTAAATGTTTTATGAATTTTTCTTGCATTTTTTCTAAATCTTGAATACAAATGATATACTGAGGGTTCCAAATTATGCTACAGTATTCTAGGATGCTCCTAACATAAGTGTAATACAGTACTTTTAGGCAACCTATGTCTGAGAAGGAACGACTAACACGCAATACGAAACCCAGGCTTCTGTACGCTTTGTTTTTAATCATTTCTGTATGATCAGAAAATGTCAACTTGCAGTCAATGTGAACACCAAGATCCCTAACACAAGCCGATTTTGCAATTTTAACATTATTAATATAGTATTCAAAATTGATCGGATGTTTCTTGCGAGTAAACGAAATAAAAGAACATTTATTTATATTTATACCAATTCGATTATCAGTATAATATTGTTCTAGACGGTTAAGATCAGTTTGTAAGCCAGTACAATCCATATCGTTTTTAATTTTCATAAATATTTTGGTATCATCAGCGTACATAAGGAATTGAGCATGTTCAAAGCAAGCACCTACGTCGTACAAAATATGTTGCATACAGAAGTGGTCCCAGTATGGATCCCTGTGGGACGCCGGAAGGTATTGCAATAAAATCTGAGCAAAATCCTCCTATGACGACAGCTTGAGATCGATTGCGTAAATAAGATTCCATCCATCTAAGCAAGCTACCCCGGATACCAAGTTCATAAAGTTTACGTAAAAGAATCATGTGATCCACACGGTCAAACGCCTTCTCAAAATCCGTGTAAATCACATCAACCTGAGACCCACTATCTATGTTACTTAATACGTAATCAATAAATACTGCCAGATTGGTAGCTGTGGACTGACCCTTCATGAAACCATGCTGCTCTATTGGTATTGAGACCGATATTACAGGATAGATAAATTTATGTACGACCCTCTCGAACACTTTGCTCAACACGTTGAGGATAGATATCGGTCGGTAATTTTCAACAGCAGTCCTCGATCCTTTTTTATGAATTGGCACTATATGGGCCTTTTTCCATATATTAGGAAAGTATCCATCTTGAAGGCACCTGTTGAAGATCAATGATACAGGACTCGATAGAGATTTAGCATATTGAACGAAAAATACCGGTGGAATACCATCGCAACCAGCTCCCTTTTTGACGTCAAGATTTTTAAGCAGTTCATAAGTACACTCTTCAGTAACATTAATGTCATGTATAGTATCAGATCTGGGAGTTTCATTTGTTGAGTTAGCTGGGTATTGAGGTGGAAAATATGAAAAACTGTTATGAGACTGAAATAGAGTGTCTCAATTCAGAAGTTTTGTCGCTTAAAAACTCCTTAGAAATTATCTCAAATAAATATGCATCGGCTCAGGTTGAGATAAAAGAACACATATTGGCCATGAATGATCTGGTAAAGTCATGTAAATACAATGAGGAGCGCTTTGACTCCTTAATAAAACATCAGACTGAGAATTAACGCTCCATACCATGTTCATCGGGGACAATATGTGTAAATAGCAATGACTCCTTATTTTCACCAACACTCTATGACGGTGCCATAACACAGAATAAAAACTTAAAAAGTAGTTTAAATATTAAAAAACATAAAGTTATTATGTATTGTGATGACATAGGTAAAAATTTTGTTTTTGTTGCCTGGAGCATCTTTTTTTTTTATTATTATTTAATATTTTTTTTTTTTTTAATATATAATTTTTATTAAAAATATTTTTTAATATTTTATTATAAAATTATTTTGGGGGATGCCCACTGTTCATAGACACTTCGGCCATGGGTGCCCACATATAAAAGCATATGGAAATGATAATATGCAATTAAAATAATGAAATGGTTAAGGAATTGGTTTAAAAAAAGTCGGGATTTTTATGATATAAAGCTTTTTATTTTCACAAATACAGCTTTTTAACGACTACTTTTACCAATTTTATTGCTTTTAATTTCTTTAACTTTTAATTCCCGACGCGTGATTTTTCTTTTGGAGGCCTATGCCAAAAGGCACACCGAACAGAGGGACTTACTTTAACTAGTATTACAATAGGAACTCAAACACAAATATTATGTAACCCCAAAGTTCGGAAATAAATGGCTATATTATTATTATACTATTATTATTAATTCCTGACGTTTCAGGTGCTTTATAGCACCCATGGTCACGGGGTACTGAGGTGACTGCCATCCCAATGTCAGTATTGGGACATGGAGTACCTTCAGCTTTTTATTATTATTTTTATAGTCCAATCTACGCAGATTGAACTTACTCTATCTTTAAGTCTTGCAGTGGTATGCTTGGGGTTTGTTTTAATTTTATTAATTATAGTGTCCCAAGCAGGTGGCAGTACCCAACCGCCTTCTCTACTGAAATTAGGATGTTTTTTAATTTCAGTAGCCTCACATATCATCCTTGGTAGGAATTAATGTTCTTTAACGAGGATTTGTGGTCTATCAAATCTGATGTATGTCTATCTGGTTGGGGTGACACCCTTGACATACGGTAGTACAGCAGGCACACGCTCAACTGCGGTCGGCTTCACTCGGTCACTGTGACGAAGACGTGGGACCCGAAGCTTGATTTTGTGCAGAACCTGCTTGACGTGCTGAAGCTCCGCGGCCAGGTGCTTGTTCTCACAGATCCCATATGCTCTCTGTAACAAAGATTTGCTCATGGTAACTAACTGTGAAGGATTATGGTGAGATTCACCGCTTAAATATCAGTTTGTATGGGTCTTTTTTCTATACACAGTGTGACCTATGATGTTGTTAGGATTTTGGATAACAAAAACATCTAGGAAAGCTAAGAAATTATTTGCCTCAGATATAATATCATAATTACTGAATAGAATTTGGCACAGAGAGTGGTAACGATGGATAAAATTCATAGGAACAATATCCTGATTTAATATTTCTTGGGCCATATTCATGAGCCGCTCTAATTTGTTTCTTGGTACTTGCAATATGCCTATATGCATTCATCACTATCTCCTGTTCTTACTTTTATCAAATATACAGCAAGTGCAAAGCATCCACTATGTTTACTTGACATTTTGGGCACTTCAGACAGAATTTATTGGCATTGTGCCTTTGATAAGCGTAGATAATAATGTACAGTATATTCGGGCATATTGTAAATATTTTCAAAGTCTATATGATGGTAAATATTATCTTACAATAATGTAGAAAAATCTATAATTTGTGCTACACTAAATGTTTTAATATGGTTATATATTAATTCTAAAAGTAAATACCAAGAGTTACTATTTAAATGGTAGTTACTGATTCTACATTCTGGAGGTACATAGTAATTGTATTCACAAAAATACATACCCGCAATGCTGATGGAACAGTGAGTTGATTGGAATTGTTACAACCAGGAAAAAACATTGATTTTGTGTGAGTGGTGCTCTTACAAAATTAGGCAGCAGTATATTGTATGATGTATGATCTAAGCTTTGTTGTTCTAGGTTCAATACATTACTCACTTTAGATTGCTACAAGTATGTACTAGATGATTCAGATGGTTCCCGTTCTAAAGTTTAACGTGTTGCTGCTTTATCAATCCTTCGCAATCATGACACTCACGCGATGACGATGGCAACTGAAATAATATTAAATAAAAAAAATAAGACAAAGTGAACAAAATAAAATAGATTTGTTTACTTTAAACTCAAATATAGGTAAATGTTACTTAAAACTTAATGCCCTATATTATTTAATAATTAAGGACTGACTGCCTACCAGTAGTCCAAAAACAATTAAAAATCGACTGTCTTATTTCTTGGTATTTGATAAAAATTGTGCATTTCGTAACTATCTGGTGTTAGCTAGCTAATCTTATCGCCGTGTTACAAATAAGCTATTTTGTTTGTCAGGTATAGCTTGTGCGTATGTTAAAAAATAAAACAACTTCATCATTTCATACATTCATCACTATCAAATATCAGCACTAGAATTAATAAATTAAAAACTGTTGAACACTTACTTT